TAAATAATGTTCGTGTCCCTGCCGATTAATATCTCGTTTTACTTTGGTTTTTTGCCACCTAGTTTGTCCCAAAAGTGGTCAGTTTCGTGCAATTGCACGAGAGAAGCTTCTTACTAAGGCCCCGTCCACACTATACATCGGAAAATTGCGTTGTCACTCTGAAAACGCATCAACTGTTTACCGTTCATACTACGCGGAGAAATTAAAAAAAAACACACACAAAAATTACCGGTCATTTGAGATTTACGGGTTTTGGAAGACTTGGGTAGGGAAATTACAGGATTAGCGTTACGTCATTATTTTCGAGAAGCTCCGTTTTCAAAATGTTTGCTAAAACGCAAGGCCGGCGTTTTCAAATTCTTCCGATTTGAAGAGAGGTTTCGAAAAGCTCCGTTTTCGTGACGGATTGGTGTGGACGGTACGCCTAACCATAGAAATAAAGCTGCGTTTTCAAATTTCTCCAGCGTAATGTGGACGGGGACTAAGCAGGCTACTGGTGACGTGCGTGACCAAAGCACGCAAGAAAGAGAGAAGGCCACGATCACTCAAGAGAAGATTGCTTCGGTATTTGAAAACTCTTGCATATAGTTAGCGTATGTCAACAGAAGTTGCATATTGGAACAAAACCAACCGTGAACTCTTATCTATAGCAACTTTGAAAGACAGATATTATCAACAAGGATGTGTCGTCAAGTTTTTTTCTTTCCTTTAAATGGTACGAGATACATAACACATGCGTAACTGCGATTAAAATATACGCAGCCATTTTCTCATAAGCTTTCTGGGAAATTCATATTCATTTTTTTCAAGAAATACTGACCGTAAGGTTACAATTTAAGTACCCACTAAATTCTAGTAAAGTGAAGTAAAGTTAACCAACGTTATTTAAACAGGGTAGCCCTTCAAGCGGGCTGGTATCAGGTTGGTATCAGTAGCAGAGCCTTGACTATTACAATAAAGAAAGTCAGTGGGTTTTTCTCGCCATCACCATCGCTGGTTTATCCTATTCACCCGCGAACACTGCTTCCTTCATTATCGCTCCAGACCGGCACCCCTGTCGCGGAACAGAGATTGGAGATCAAGTTTATCCCAGCCGATCAGCGTGACATTTTAAGCTATAAATCGTTCTCTCACGAACACCAAACCGGCCAAGTGCCACGAGGGGCCGCTGCATTTACAGGCTACTATCCTGGCACTATTTAGCTGGAAAAAGCAATTAGTCACACCACTCATTCTGACTCGTGGCCACTTTAAAGACCTCTTCCGTATCTCTGCACTGCTTTCGCTTACTGCGATAAGCGGCTATTATTTCATATAAATATTTTGGTGTTCCAAGTCTGGTTATCATGGCGTTATCATCTGAGTGATTTCTATATACTTGGCAGGTGCGTTGCGAGATTCGGGTTAACTATAATGCGGAAATTGAGCAGTAACAGTAACCTTTTAATTTAAACATTATGCATCGCTCTGGGAACTTGGTAGGACACGCAGTACTCTTCCGTCCATGATGAAGTCCTCATTATCACTAGAACCTTCTTCCGTGCTCTCGTCTGATTCTGGTATGAATATCGAGGTGCTATCAGCTAACATATCCAAAGGGGTAGAAGCTTTAGTGCGATCAGGAACTTCGGCTTCAGGCAAGCTATGGGGTGGTAACGGACTACTGGCGAAGTCATGATCCTCTTCTTGGTGTAAAACGTCCTTCTCGATGTCGCCATGTTGTGATCCAGATTCGTCAGTACTGTTCTCTGTATCCTCGTATTCTTTCGCGATTATTAGTGGAGGAACACTCCTTATCGAAATTGAGCTCTTCCTCATGCTAACTTCTGTAAGTGAAGGAGACACACTGTTCAATGAAACTGCGCTGTTCATTAACGTACCAGCAGGGTTACTTGAGTCATTCTGTAATGGCTCGGTGTTTTGCAGACTTTCTTCGACTAATTCTAGTTCCTCCTCCCAATCTACTTCCTCGCTTTCTTCTTCATCTTCTTCGATTCCTTTTTCATCCTCCTCAGGTTCTTCTACACCATCCTCAAAGACGTCCTTTATTTCTTCCTGTAGGCTTTTTAGCTCCTGCACTTTCAACACGTTTTCTCCCAGGTTCTCTTGTGTAAGCTCATCATCCGATTCTGGATCTGCAGCATCTGAATCTTCGTCGTTACGAGACATCCTGCTTGTAGACATCAACGATGTAGCTTCAGACTCAATTCTCCTTTTCATCCGCGAGGCGGCGATCATTCTGTCTAATTCGTGTTCAGAATACTTATCTACAACTGCGTTCATTGCCTCTATTCCGTCGCACAAATCATCTTCCAGGATTTCGGCATCAGAGTTTAGAACGAGTGACATTACTTTGCTCTTCTTTCTTGACCATTTCTCTGGTTGAAACCATCTCAACTGGCGGACGTCTTCATCGCACAAGGTTCGCATGAAGAACATAGTAGACTCGGCTTTTTCTTCTATAGTTTCTATTTTCTTTTCTAATTCGCTCTTTGGCCAGCTGTACTCAGGTCGAATGGGTGGCTCGACAAAGAGACCAACAAACGCTTTTATACGGTTGGAAATAAACTGCACGATTTCATATTCATTCCCTTGTTTTTCAGAGTCGTAACGAACTTCGTTAAAGCTGTCACAGAGAATTCCAATAAATATGTTGATGAGTATGAACTGGAAAAGAACCATGAAGGTAAAGAAGACTGCTGGACCGATGATGGCATTGACGTCGACCAAATCATAAAACGCAAAGTTTCCAAGTACCATTGACATCATGGAAACCATGCATCTTATAAAAGAGCGATAATCTTCAAGTGCAGGGCCAAAGACGAGGTAAACTAAGAAGCAGTACGCCAGAAATATCACCAGAAACATCAACATAAAGCTCGCAAGCTTACTGGCGCTGACTTTCATTGTACTGGACAAAACGGAGACCTTTCTGTTGAATCTTAACATTCGCAGGAACTTCAGGTTGATGAGCAACACGACCAGTGCAACCATGGCATTGACCCCTTCATCCAGGAGAACCACGTACTGAAAACTGACAAATTTAGAGCGATCCTCCCGTAGCTTTCCAACAGCGGAGTTTAGGAAAACTAGGCGAGCGAAATACAGTGACAGGGAGGTTATTGACAGGGCCGTGATAGCTATGTCGACTATGTTCCACGCTTTCTTCCAAAATGATTTTCTTTCCCTCCATAGTCTCTTTCCATCTCGTAAGATCCAGTTTAAAAGCAAAAAAGCGAAAATGACTTCGCATATCATGAGGGCAGCTGAGAAATTTCCGATGTATCTATAAACCCGGATCGTTTGAATATTGACGAAACTTTGACCACCGCCAGTGGGTAACTCTTCGTACAACAAAGTCACCACACACAGGAGGTTAATGTTGATGTTGTAAATACTTAACTCGGTGAACAGCGCTCTGGTGTATCTGTCAATCCATTCCTTGGCTTTCAGGACCTCCAGTTCATTTAAAGCTGTGACTTCATCAGGGCCAAGTTCAATAATGAACCCCCCTCCTCGATATGAAGCCATTTTCCCCAAATATGGAAAACTGCTGGCTTCCATTACGCTTTGATATTGCCATGGGGAAGCAGGCTGCATTTCTCGAGTTTCTTTGCTTTCGGTCACGTTTTCTTCTGACTGAATAGACCATCCTATCCCGAAGCTCCCTCTTTCCTCCTCTGACCAGGAGTAAACGTCGTTGCATTCTGTTATGTACTTGGAGAAACTCTTTGGAACTTGGCATGTGTCTGATAACAAAGATGAAACGTCATGCTGTTAAACGACGGTTTTTAAAACACCATCTACAAGTGATACTAATTGATCGCACCGGATTTTTTTCTAGTCTCGGAGCTCGTGTGAACACTCTATGCAGGCTTCCAATAGCTGAACACCTTCAACAGCTGAACACAAGTTAAAAATCTTAGCTGCATACAATGCAAACGCTAAATTGTTAACAACCTCTTATTAACAAACACCTCTCCCATACGGACGGCATATCTGATCTCAAGGGCGTTCGCTTACGAGAGTGTTAAATTCACCTTGTTACACGCGAACACTAAATCGAATTGCTTTGTTATGCTTAAGGTTTAGCATTGAGGAACATAAATCCTTATTTTATCTAGTTATAGCTTCCGCGCGAAGCACATGTTAAAACCTTAATTCAAAGGGAGGTAGCGAAAGCTCATCCGTCAACATCGACTGTGAAGAGCTTAAAAAGAGAAAAAAAGCTAATGCTACGAATGAATTACTCAACTATACGTAATGTCTTATAAGCTCTCTTACAAGCTAAACAAAAGACTCACGAGCTCATTATATTCATCGGCTGAGACAGAATCACCCATTGTTAGTGTCGATGTAAAGTTGAATGTCATTCAAGAAAATAGAATGTTTAGAATCGCCTTGGAGGTGACCTAAAGGTTTAAAAAGAATGCAGAAGAAAACAACCATCACCTTTCTTCATCCTGATTTGCCTGATGCGGCCAACTCCTAAGACGTTAGAAACGTCTCCACTCTTGATAATCCCTACATACGGGTATTCGTGCGACGCAGTTGAAGGGAAAAGACTTTTAATTAAGGTGGTTGTTGCCCAGTCCCAAAACGCTTCCCTTCTGTTCACCTACAAAGCATATAGAATGGTTTATTAACCAAAATAGCACTGGACTAGTAATCCACATCTCCGAGGGCATTTTGATTACCAATGACAGCTATATCTGTCTGTTTATCTGTCGGTCTGTCTGTCTGAGCTGTCTGTCTGTCTGTTTAAGTTGTATCATTGTATTTTAATTCGATAACTTCTGTGTGGGAAATTAAAGATATTCCATAAGTGCGCAAGGCTGTGGATTGGAATGTATTTCTAATCTCTTTTTAATATATGGATTAAGAAAATTTCATTTAGTAGCGACCAAAACGGACAACTTTCATCTATCAGGCAAAGAGCACATTAATTTTTCTTTATGATAAACCAAGCAGTTACCTCTGCAGACACTAATCCTCCGTAAGAAAAAAGATGGCGACATTTACCCATAGTTCGTACCGCGCAAAAACCTTAACAACGTTCATAAAACATACGGAAACGTTATAAAATCTTCAAATCTAGACTACTCAATGTCCTTAGTACAGGGACAAATATCGTAAAACTTTGGCTTTCTTTGTGTCTTATAGGTTGTGTTAGGTTTGCAAGGCATTGTGGTAAAGTGTACAGCCACCATCTTGCTTCCTACGGTGGGTTTAGTTACCTCTAAAGACAGGTCTGTAACCTTTTATTAATAGCAGACTTGGGAAAACTGCTGTGAGAAAACAATGTTCCTAAACTTACAGGGCTAAGACCAAGAATATTAAAAAGGCTTATCAGAAATTATTTCATTTTACCACGTCAAATGAATTCATGTTTGGATCTCCAGCCACCAAAACGTTTTTAACCTCGTTGCTCATTGCAAAAGATCTGTTATCGTGGTTTCCATAGGCAACTGTCAGAACGATACCAACAACCAAGAAATGTGCGATGATCTCTTTTATAATTGCTTTCATCTCGCATTGCTTTAATCGTAGTCTTCTTGCAGCTTCCAGCTTCTTTGCATCCGGTGGTTTGCTTTGCAAGCTGATATTTCGTGGTTCTCTCTCAGCGCCTGTTTCAATAAACTCTTCGTCAGCGTTTAAAGCAGGATCGGGGGTCTCCTCTTGTTCTTCTTCTTTATTCGGATCTTTTATTATCAACGCGAAAAAAGCTGCAATAAGAAGTACCTTGAATGGTTGGATGACGACTACAGACTGGAAAAATGACACCAACATTGACGTTAACCATTTCTCTGACTTTTCTTTTCCAAAGGTGAAGCCATACAGCATGCAGACGAAACCACATGTCAATGACGAAACAGCCACTAGCACATAGGCAATGTAGATGCACCAGTAAGGGAACAAGAACTTCTTTTTAGATTTCTTTTGTTCACAATCGGAGTCGTCGTCCTTCTTGATGATGCTTAAAAGAGTTTTCCAGTTGAAAACTTTTTTCACAGAGTTATCCCGATTGTCTTGAGTCGAGTCAATGTAGGCCACTTGTGACTTGGAGTCGACGTTTCCAGAGGGCTCAGCGTCTGCCAAATCTGGATTGGAGTAGTTTGTTTCTTCCTCGACCTGTTCATATTTCTTAGACTTTGAGTTGTCCTCCTTTGGTATCAGCTTTCGAAAAATAGACACAATGATCATATTCACCGGCAACACCACGAAACTACTCTGTACACCGATCATTATTTGTTTCACACTGAAAATAAACGGTCCGATATGTATTGACTGGTCTGCAGCTGAAGTATCATCAGCCCCAGTTTGATAGAACATTAAGTTTGCCAGCATTGTAGTTAGCATCAAAGAGAGGCAACAGGACAGCCGCTGGACACGAGTGAATGTGCTCTTCGGCGGGCGCGTAAAAACTGAAAGCCAAAGATGCCCATCTAGCAGATTCTTCCTGGTAGAGTTTACAAATAAGATATTAAACTTGGTCAACTCCTCTTTTGTTGCTTGTTTAAGTCTGCGATCAACTGCGCCGTCTCCCTCCTCAACAGCAAGCCACTGATCACACACAAACCACCATTTGGATTCTGTCTGTAGGTCCCGGATGAGCACGCGAAATAGGTACCAAGCGGGGGATTTCCCTGCATTGTTATGCCAGATGTGGATCTCTTTGACGCTCCCGAGGGACTGTGGTACTGTTAACAGAAACTGGTCGATTTCTCCACGTCCAAATTTGGGGCGTTTTGGATCTTTTAATATCCGGGGCTCGCTATCACCCAAAGTGCCAAACAACTGGATAAATACGTCAGCGGTTGTTCTAGACTTTTGTTGGAATCCAGTCTGCAGAGTGAT